TATATTAGAATATTTTGAAATTCTTTAATAACAAGGTTCTAAATTTTCTTTTTAAAATAAAAATGAAATAATATTTTTTACTTAGAAAAAGAAAAAAGAATTTTGTGAAGAAAATGTAATAGAAGAAAATACGAAAAAAACTAAAATTGTGATAAATAAAAAAATCAAGAAAATTAATTTTAAATATAAAAATTGAGACACTTCTATCAAAATTAAAAAATAATATATGATTAATTGATATTATTTTTAAAACGGAGACTATTAGAATACTAACCTTTTCCCATAGTCTATTATTGGCCTTTGTTGTCTTGAGTATCATAGATTATTTACCAGCCTCCTTTTCAATGGTTTTTCAACCTCCCCCTCTCCCTCCTTTTTCATTTTCCAATACCTACAGAATGTCAAACCAATAGCCAAAAGGGATGAATGTTTGTAGTAATTCAAGGTTTTAACTAAAAGGAATATAAAGAGAAGAGTATGTTTCTGGCATGAACAATCGAAAATAAAAATAAAAACCCTTTATTGTTGGATCTCCCTTTGTCAACAGATTTGTCCATCTAGGAAGCCAAATCAGCAACCTTACGAATGGATTGGTCGCCTTAAACTCTGGATCTAGTCATCGTGTAGTGGAGAGGAAGGGAAAAAAAAAGGAAGAAAAAGAGAAAGAAAAAAGTGGATGGTAAAAAATAAAATAAAAACATTATTTTTGTAATAATGATTAATAAATTATAATTTATTTATTTAAAAAATAAATAATGAAATTTATTGATATTTTATTAAAAAATTAGTTTTAATTAAAGGATAAAATAGTAATTTATTGTTAATTAATAAAAAAATGAGTTAATAATTAATTACGATTAGTATTATTCGTATGGTCAAATTATTTAATTAGCCTTTGTAATTATATGAAATTTAAACTTTAGTTTTTATACAATAATTTACAAAAATTAGATCCTTATACTAATTTAATTTAACAAAGTTAGTCCAATTGATAACACTGTTACTTAATCTATGTTAAATAGCTGTCATAGCCATTTATTATGTTGTCCTGGCATTATTTTTCATGACGTGGCCATTCACCACTATCATATTAGATGGCATAGATAGTTTTTGTGAGCACAAATGATCACATTGAAATAAAGGACCATTCCTTCTATAATAGTTTTTTAAATCACTTTCTTTTAGGGGTGATAGTGTGAAATCCAAAAGGAAGCATGGGATTTAAATATAATGAGTACTATAATCATTTAAGAGAAAGAAATATTATAAGCAAGCAATTCTACCCTCTAGATGATAGTGTCAACACTATTGTTAAATGGAACATCATTTAAAAAGATTCCATTAAAAGTCATTTAAGAAAAATTTTTTGTTAAACTCACTTCCCATTTGGTATTACAAATGCCTCTAAGCTCTGAAATCAGAGAAATTTTAAAATGTGTGCTACTTCTATTATAAATTAGGTACAAGAAGATAATCTATAAAAGTTTTCTAAATTGAAAAGTGAAGCAAGACATTCTATTAGCTTTTTTTGTTTGAATCCAATTTATATACTATGCCTTCTACTTTTCATGGTAGGATACTACTGTTTTTATTAACATGAGTAATCTTCTTTAGTTGTACATACAGTAAATAATGTTGTTCAATTGTCTTTAAAAGTAATTGATTGTCTTATCTCAAAATGACAAAAATTAAAAATTAAAAAAATTTTGAATGCTTTATGTCAAGCATTCGAATGCCCACATTCTGGTTGAAGAAAAACCCTAAGGTAGTTGATTGCCCTTGTTGAGTAATCAATTGCTAGCCTTGAAAAGTATAAAACAAATCCATTGGACATGGTCTTGGATTCCAAATAAGGTATTACTTCATTTAAATGATGTCTATTCATTAAATTACGATTAAAAATATCTTTTAGGACTTATATATACTTCCTAAACACTCATTTTATATACAACCTTACAACTTTTCATTCTTTAAAACTCAGAAACAGATTTCTTTTCCTATACTCACTTTTCTGGTTTATGGTTCTAATGTGTTCAAAAAGAACTTGAAGTGCAATTATTTTCTTCTATGTTGGGCATTGTATCTTAATGACAATATTTCTAATAACTATTTGCACCTTGTGAGAAAACTATTACACTTAAGAAAGCTTCCTAAAAGTGTCTTACCCTAATTTTACTTTAACAAATTTGCATGGTAGTCACTCCCACGCATAACAATTAAAGAAGCATATAAAGATTGCATAAGTTGCCATCCCCACATATAACACAACAATCTTAAATCACCTTAAATTCAAGATAAAAGAAAATAATTAACATTGAAATACCTGACTTATATAAGTAATTTAATAACAAAATCATATGATGTCATCATGTCATTTTTAATTACGTGGGCTAAAAGTAACTCTAGTTCGAACATAATTGTTTGATATTCAAGGAAAATCATTTTTGTGTTATCAGTTTTTTTAAAAGGACCAGTTTTTTAATTCCTAGGAAACTTGTTAGCTTTTATGTTCAGATGCCTTTTTCGTTTTTTTCATAAAGCAAAATTAGCAAAACAGCAATTAAAAGGAGCCCAATATATATAACGTTTTTTGTTTGATTTACTGAAATATTCCAAACATAACAAAGATTTATAATGGAGACACCGTAGTTTTGGTCTCAGAGATGAGCTTGTTGAACTTGAAATAATCATTCCTTTTCTTTAATGTCTATGAGTTTGATATAAAGCAATTTTCTGCGCTCAGTTATCTTCCACGCGATCCTAAACGCTTACGAGAGACTTACCATTTTCTATTTCTTTAAGACCCTGAATATATAATAGTCTTGCAAACTTATATGTTAATGCATAGATAGCATTAACATATATAAATTCTGACAATTGCTTGCTGTAGTTGTAGAAACTTTGGAAAAAATTGTTGTAACTGACTTTATTTCTATGTTTTCTGTTGGTTACATCTTCGTGGCTAAACATAGGAGCTTGTCTAATACAGATGATGTTACTTTACCGATGTTTACTTATGAAGAAATTATCAAATACATTAACAGTAGTGATGGAATCAAGAATTTTATTTAATGGAAGCTTAATTCAAATATATTAAATTAAAAAGCATCAATAACAATAATAATGATAATAGTAAACAAGAAAAACTAAAACTTCCCACATCCTGTCATAATTATTAAAAATTTTATAATTATCCATGCGATTTTATATTTTGAAAAAGTTATACAATAGTTTTGTTATCAATACAACATTTTTCAATGTATAGAATTGAACTATAATTCAACCATCCATTTGATTACGCATACCAGTTTTCAAAATGTGCATCGCTAAAAATGCTCTTTTTATTGTAACAATGACAATGAGTAGAATCAATGATAGTGTCAACAGCAAATAAATTGGAGCAGTAAAATTATTTTTAGCTTAACTATGACAAGAATACAACGTAGAAACATGATTTTCATGTAAGGCCTCCTCAATGTACAAATCCCTTTGATGACAATGGAGTTTCATTCCAAACAAGAAGTGACTAATACCTAGTTAAAAAGAAAAACCAGGAATTTTTATTCTTGTTCAAATTAATAAAATATTTGTATGTGATATAACTTTCTTTTATCACAATTGAAAGAATTTTAGTTAATATTAAATTTGTTAACAGGTGCTGATATTACTTTTTTGACATAAAAATTTTAAACATTTTTTATTTATGATGTTTTATTATTTTAAAATTTATTAAAATTAAATATATATTTTTCAGTCGAAATAGTTTTTTTAAAGGGCAAAATATTAGGCCGAAGGGCCAAAGCCCAAAACATTTTTAATTATCCAATTCTTTTATATTTTTTTATATTGATTTTTAAATTTTTTCGGGAGAAATTAAACCATTAAGAAAATTATTTAAAAAATTTTAAAAATTCAAAACATTTTTTTCTTTTCTAACAAAGAAAAATAAACCGAAAATGATATATATATTTTTTAAAGGCAAAATATTAACCCAAAAGCAAAGGCCCAAAACATTGTTTTATTGGAAAAAGAAAAACCCTAAAAGTTTTAAAGCAATCTGGACCGTCGAATTGAATCTATTAACTTAAAACCGTTGATTTGTTCATGAAAACTTCATTCCTTTCTTCCTCACTCTCACTTAGCTCTTCAAATCTCGATTCAGGTAAAACCCAAAATTTCTTTTACTCTAAATTTGTCGTTTGTCTATGATTTTGATGCTTCACACTGTAGTTTTCATGATTTCATTTGGATGAAAAGATGGTAGTGATTTTTAAATTTACAAAGCTTTGATTCATAATTAATTTTGCTTGTCTTGGTCTTTCTGGTATGTTTGGTTATTATTTTTAGAATGACATTTTGATTATTAATGATGGGTTTTCTTCATTGTTTTTGACCATATCCTTTGATAAAATTTTTGAGAAGTTAAGATTATATCTACATGGAATTTTGGGTTTGATAAATTGGATCTTTTGCCCGAGTAATTTTTTTAGTTAGAAAATTTTGTGAAATGATTAGTGCGTGAAACTTTTGTTCTAGTAATTTTGGTTGGTTTAATATGGTATTCATTTGATTATGACTTATAAGGTTTTCCTGATTTTTCTTGAATTTTGTTATGATAAAATTATGCGAATTAAGATGGTGTTAACATGGAGTTTAGATTTTATTTTCTGTCTTGAATTAAATTGATGCTTTTTTTTTTGTTTTTACTAAGATTGATTATTTTGGTGAGAGTGCTATATTCGTAATTTAATCACGAGTTTTGTACGGTGTTATGATTGGATGTGAATTTTCAAGCTGAGAATTGACTTCGGTTGAGTTGGAGGTAGCCCCACGTGTAAAGCTCAAGCTCTCGCTATGTAGGGGTCGCAGAAGGATTGGACCCATTGGGTCTAATGTATGAAGCAGACATAATTATTATTATTCAACAACAACAACAACAAAACACCTAAATATGTAAAAATCAAAACTCTAAATTTTCAATAATCAGCAAATTGGAAATAAAAACATTCTAAAATATCAATTGAAATTAATTTCAATAATTCTTTGCATAAGACATCCACAAAACGCAGCAAAAAGCCTATAGCAATCAACAATTCCATTACTACCCAAAAGCGAACCAATCAAATGGTCATCAAAGCCCATGTCTATCCCAAACAAATTCCTTTTAAAATTTTGATTTTGCCTGATACATGATGGAAAGTTCATCAGTCACAGCTAGGCAACGATACTAACCAAAAAAATGGGGCTGGCAACACGGCAGGATGCGGAAAGACAATTAATCGTTAGATATCAAAGGAATAAAAGGAAATGATCATCAACTCATAAAAAGCAGGACACCAAATTTTACGTGGAAAACCCCTTGAAAAGTATAAAAAACCACGGGACCAAGTCCACTCAATCTACCACTACTCAAAATAATGAGATTACAACATGAGTGTTTTCTAGTTTAACCGCATGACATTACAAGAAGTTATCATAAAAAAAGGTAAATTTCTTGGACAACAAGAGCAATCTCACCAAAAGTGGACTGTTTGTGGAGACATCATAACCATGTCTGGTTGTTCATTGAAGGATGGTGTCTTTTTCTCATCCCCTTAATTCCTTGTGCATCCACTTACAAACACCCATTTTTCCTTTTGGTAGGATACAAGTTCTCAAGCCATATAGCTTTGTAGGCACCATCAAGTATTCAGAATTGGAGTTTCTTGAATCAACATCACCAGCCATGTTTGCCAAGGTGCTCTCTAGTCTCTAATATCACTTGTTTTGGAAGAAAGGATTAAGAGATCCAACAATGCCAGCCAAAACATACAATTTAGAATTATGGTTGAACCCAAAAGCTTATTCTTTTTCGTGTGAAATTCTGATGCGGGATTCAAGTACACTTCTATGAATCTTAACCATGAAACCAGTTAGGAAGTATCCTTTTTAGAAGAGGAAATGCAGAATAGACAAGTTCCCACCACTGAATCTTGAGAGCATTATATCGAGTAAGTTTCACTCATCCTGTAATAATTGGTCAGCAGCATTCTGTTAACTGTGTGGGAGTAACTATCAAAAACTGAACACAATAAATTGTGTAACACTCTTTGATGCTTACTTGACATGAGGAGTTTGGCAACAACAGAAACAAAAGACTAATTGGTAGAACTTCTTGTGGAATAGCTACTGTCATACTGCTTTTGCTACCATATCCAATCAATGATGGCAGAAACAAATACCTCCTGAAGAGCCAAAATTGTTGGTGATACGAAATGAGCACTGATTATGTATATACATAACAGAAACAAACCAGAAAAATTCCAAATGTTCTCACCTGCAGGAGTTTGAAGTACATGCAGAGTCAAGTGAAAACAATGACCATTTTACAAAGAAGAAAAGGGATGGATTTCAAGCCTGCTCATGCTCTAATGCCAAGAAACTTATGATTTCATGTCCACTAGGATCGATGCTTGGTTTAATTCTTGTATTAAGCTTCACTGCATCTGGTTGCTTGCAAAGAAAAAGTAAAATTGGAGATCGGTGACAAAAAGAACTGATATAAATAAAAGCTGCAATGCTCTTTAGCTTAAATTGCCATACATCTGGTAATCTCCATTAGTATTGTAAAAAAATCTATTCAAATCCATAATCTGAAAATTAGGTGTAGAAGTCAATTATAAAAAATAAGCAGCATTGGCAACCAAAGAGAATGATTAATACTGAAATACAACTAGCTTTGTAAAAACAGAATATGTTTATTTCTTTCTTTTCACTTTCACCCCAATTAGTATACAATTGACTTTAAAATCAGGCAAGTACCATAGCAGTAAAAGTCAAAAGGTCCATCAATCAATATTCACACAAGGAGCCCAAGCTATCCGATTCTTGATCAATCGATCGCAGGGGACAGTCATCAATATTTAGCTACAAATTGAAGAAATCATAACTCTCAAAAAGAGATGAACAAAAGGTGGGTTGCATTATACCTATTTCGTGTAGAAAAGATTACATCCAGCAATTAAGCAACATTCAGCAATCAAGCTTGATTCAGTTCCTCTTCTATCACGTTTGAATCATCTGACCAGCAATTAAGCAACATTCAACCATATTTATCTACAAAATGAAGAGGCTAGTCATTTTGAAAAGAGATGCAAAAGATTAATGTCTGAGAATTTACATTTTTTCAACAGATAGATTCTGAAAGCCTTTGCACAGAAATTCCTATCTCCTCTTGTGGAAACAAGTCAAGGCCGCATCCAAACATCCATCAACACAAAATGCGAAATTCTCTTCTAAGATAGGAGCTCCGGTCAAAACCTAGAAATTTACAACTCATTTAGTACCATACAAAATTGGATGAAAGAAAACAAAACCAAATAAATGATCACTTCAAAAACATAGAAAACAACATAAAACCAAAGAAATAAAATACTTGAGTTGATATTAAAATCAGTACTTAAAATAGTAATTCATTGAATAGATATTAAAATCAGTACTTAACAACGAAATATTTTCTTAAAATCAGAACTTAAAATAGTAATTAATTCTAGATTAAAATGCATGAGTCATACATGATCTAATTCTTCTGCTTAATAAGGAAATGGCTTTATCATTTCGATTTATTACTAAAAAAGTAAAACTAAAAATACTTAAAAATTAAATGCAAGTGAATTCGATGCTCGTTCAAGTCACTGTTGTTTTTACTTGTGTGGATATATTTGTACATTTAAATAAAAATCAGTTGAAATAGTAATATTAGTTTTAAATTAAAATACCTGTGGGTCTTACATTGCTCTTTATAATTCGTAGTAGATGTATCTCTATTAAATTTGAACACGTGGTATGTGAGCGATGTTGGGCCAATATTTTCCTTTATCCCTTTTGCACCTTTTCTTCAACACTGGACAATCAAGAATTTGTAGATCCAAAAGCGAGGGAAGCACTTGCTTTTTGGGAAGGGATTTGAGCTTCGGACAATTCCCTATCCGCAAATGTTGAAGAGAGGAAAGATGCTGAAAGCCTTTGGAGGATAGCTTCCTTAGATTTTTGAAGTGTGAGATAGAAATAGAGTTGAGAGAAGGGGGCAGCTTGATCTCCTCTTGTGGAAATGACACACAATTACTACCATCAATGCGGAGCATTGTAAGAGAGGTGAGTCTATGCAATCCCCACTCCATTACTGCCTTAACAATATTGGGTCCAGAGATGCTAAGCATTGTTAGGTTGGTAGGCAAACCCCTTTCTGGAAATATTACCGCATCAGAATTACCACCATCAATTAGGAGATCTTTAATAGAGGTGAGTCTATGCAATCCCCACTCCATTACTGACTTAACAAATTGGGTTCATTGATGTAAAGGCTTGTTAGGTCGGTAGGCAAACCCCCTTCTGGGATGGATGTCACCCTTGGACAACTCCATATGGTCAAGTATTGAAGAGAGTTGAGGCTAGGCAGAGATTTAAGTTTTTCACACCAACGAAGCTCCAGAGATTTAAGCTTGTCCATTCCTTGGGGTAAATACTGAATATTTTTACAATTCCAGATCTCAACAGATTCAAGACAAGTATTATCCCCAATTTCCTGTGCTACAAATTCTAGCTTTGGACAGTCCCAGATCAGCAGCTTTTTAAGCCCCACGGGTAACTTACTGCTTGATGATAATGATTTGAGAGCTTTACATCGAATAATTTGAAGAAATTCAAGGAGAGATGTGCTGCTGAAATTGATGTTCTCCCCTTCTTCGAATAAGCACTCTAAATTCTCACAGTCCGTAATCACCAATCTTTCAAGAGTTGAGGGCAAGTTATCCGCCAAAAGTGAAACCAATTTTGGGCACCCTACAATCTCTAACTCTCTAAGACACGTGAGGTTTTTCGATAACTTCTGGAAGCCTTCACAATATTTTATTCCCAAATGTTCAATGTTGTAGTGTATGTCTAATTGCAAAATCTCTGCCTTTTCCTCCTCCTCCGTTGCACTTATAGAAGCAACCTGCGGACAATTTTGGAGCCCTAAATTACGAAGAGATCTCAAAGGCACCAACCAACCCCACTCTGTTTGCCACATAGAAACCAATTCTTCACAACCTTTAACATTGAGATCTTCTACTTTCATCCACTCGAACGTCCACATCCTTTCCCTTGTTACACATGCAAACTTTGAAATGTTGGAAAGGTTGATTTTTTTTACCAACCAAAGATCCATACAACTCCCAACCTCTACTTTTTCACACCCATCAATTTCTAATTCACATAGCTTTGGAAGATTTGAAATTGAAACTACCAAATTTTGGCAATTACGAATCTCAAGTTTTCCCAAAGAAGGAAAGTGCTCCGGCAATGGCCCTATCAATTTGGGACAACCCACAATAAGGAGATCTCGGAGGCAACGGAATTTTCTTCCTTGCTCATCAACTTCACATGCCTTCCACTCTTTCCATTCTGGCATATCCTCAAAATGCAATGTCTCTAATGATGGAAACACATTTGGCCAATTCTCTCCATAGAACTCATTGCCAACACTAGTTACGCTCTTCATTTCCCTGATATAAAGATCCTTTAAAAGTGGTAGTTTTCCAACTGCAGGTAATAATGTGCAATTTGGACAATTTACAAACTTTAATGATTGCAAATTTTTAAATGAAGGATCTTCTATCCAAATTGGGAAAGCTATTCCAGCATAATACCTGATGGCAAGCGCTTTAAGCTCTTCATGTGGTCGAAGCAAGTTCAAAACATCTGTCTGGACTTCTTTCTGTCTTAAATTTTCATCAAAGTCTTTACACCACTCCAGCTCTAAATCATCGAGGTCAGACTTACTTGATAGCTTAGCTTCCCCTGCATACTGAGCTTCATTCACATTTTGCAACCCCGAAATAGAAAGCTGACCTTTGAGATTTGATAAATTCTGCATCTCTCTTATATTCAGTGCATCGCCTTGGCCCACAATAAAATTGGACAATGCCCGAAGATTTGTTAAGTTACCCATTCCACTTGGCATTTCCTTCATTGAATCTGCACCGGCAATATCTAGATGGCAAAGGTTGGCTAACATTCCTATTTTTGTGGGTAACTTCTCAATCCGCAGACAATGCCTTAATAAAAGAGTCTCTAAATTATAAAGGGTGCATATTGAATCTGGGAGACCTTTTATGAAAGTATAAGAGAAATCTAGATAGCGCAAATGTCTCAAATTTCCAATGAAATCTGGTATTTCAGTGATGCGGTACCTTTTCAAAGAGAGCACCCTCAAGCATTTCAATCTCGGCAGTAAATCATTAAGAACGTTATTGCTTAAGAGGAACTCATAAATCCCCAGCATCCTAAAGGGTAAGAACGTCCGTAGTGACTTCGCTTCAAAAAGGGACTCGTACTTTTTGATATTGTCATACTCGTCTATCATACAGGTGGAGTGGCGAGCGAGACTTGGGCGCTTCATTTCCTCATGTCTCTCCATTTTAAAATATTTTTCTCCTCCAACAAACTGAGCTAGATCATTAATCAGGTCATGCATTAAAAACAGAGATTCATCCATGCTAGATGGTTGAAAGAATGACCTTGATACCAGTTCTTCAAAACACTGGCTGCCAAAATCTTCAATTTGCCTTTTAGTTTCTGGTCGATTGAGAAAACCTTCAGCCATCCATAACCGAACTATTTCTTCCTCACCAAATTCATAATCTTTAGGGACCAGAGAACAAAAAGCAAAACATTGCTTTAAATGTGAAGGAAGATAATAGTAACTCAACCATAGAGCTGGAATTATGTCACCTTCCTTTTGACACCGATTCCAAATATCACTCTCTAATATTAATTTCCATGCATCACGATCCACCGTTGTGCGCAATAGTCCTCCAATGGTTTTTGTTGCCAAAGGCAAACCATCACACTTCTTCAAGATCTCCTGGCCGATCTCTTTCAAGTCTGAATGCTCTGTAAAATCCTCTCTTTCCAATACGTCATGAGCAAGCATTCTGAGAGAATCTTCTTCCGATAAGCATTGCAACGAGTAGTCTGCAGCAATTGTCATAATTGATGAAACTTTGGAACTACGTGTTGTCACAATTATTTTGCTTCCCGGTTGCCCTGCCTCAAAAGGAGATCGAAGCGCAAACCAATTGTGGTTGTTGTCGTTCCAAACATCATCCAAAACAAGCAAGAATTTCTTTCTCGATAGCTTCTCCTTTAATTTGACTTGAAGCAAATTCAAATCATTCATATCACATGGCACGGAGGGTTCCGAAAGCAGAATTGTCTTTGTTATGCTGATGATATCAAATTCATCAGAAACACAAACCCATGCTTTAAGATCAAAATGATCTTTTATGCTGTCGTCATTGTAAACAAGTTGAGCAAGGGTTGTTTTTCCAATCCCTCCCATGCCAACGATGGGAATCACAGAATAAACCCCAGCATCACTGCCATCGTTCCTCAACAGCAAATCAAGTATAGCCCTCTTGTCTTTGTCTCGCCCGAGTACATTAGCTTCGTTCACCAAGGAAGTACTGGGCTGCCTTCTTGGGATTGTCATGGGCCTTCCAACATGATAAGTGATCTCCCTTAGCTCCAAGTTACTCTTTCTAGTGGCTAAACCTTCCAATCTTCCAGTAATCTCTTTAATCTTGGACATCATCTCATGATTAAACTTGATTGAACTTAGATGTGACCCAGTGAAGCAAGCACAGTAAAATTTTTTAGGCTTACTTGTACTGGCTTGATGTTGTTTGATCAACTTACGCCCCAAAGCTTGAGTCGCAAACTCGTCCAAGATATCATCCACGTCGTAAGCCAAGTCTTGGAGGTCAGCCAACCAAATCTTCACAGCCTGGTTCTGCAGTTGCTTCCCCTCTGCATCAGCTAGCGCCGCATGGATGTTCCTCAGCATAGTTTCCCAGTTCATAATCTCCTTTCGAACCCGCTTCTCGGTGACAAACTGGAACTCGGAAGAGGCAAACTTGCCAAACAGCGCCTCAAAGAACGCAGATAGAGCGGCCTCTCCAATGAAAGACATGATGAAATAGATAAATTTGAGGAAGGAATTATAAGAAGAATGGAAGTAGATAGAAAATCAAAGAGTAGGAATTTGAAGTAGAGGAAAAGAAATGCAGACTGTTTTGCAAAAGCTGAAGAGTTTAACCAGCGTTGGTGAAAGTCTTTGTTTTTCAGTCGTATAATAATGGGAAGGCAGTTGGTAACTATGTTGAGTACGTTCACATTGGATTCTCATTTACAGATGTTTTCTTTTGATTTGGAACTTTCGTTGGAAAAAGTAGTTTAAGAGAAGACAAGATAAATCGCAGATGAATAGAATAGAGTTGGGTCCACGCGGTTTCATGGGTGTCCTATCACTGTTAGAGATTGTAAATTCTAAAAAAGAGGATTTGAATTTGAGTTCAGCGTTATTTTTACTCAGGGATATTTATATTTTTTACTTTATATTAACCTTAATAAAATAAAAAAATTTGATAAAATATATTTATAATTTTAAATTTTTTATTTGAGTATCTTTTGATTTTTAAATTTTAAATTATTTCATTGTAATACTTAGAGATGAGCAAAAATCGGTTTGAACAGATTAAATCGATTGAAATCGAGTGAATTCGGTTGAATCGGTTCGATTTATTCGGTTTTAGTTATAATCGATTTTTTAAATCGGTTAAATTGATTAATTCGATCGATTTTCGATTTTTAAAATTAATAACCGCACTGACCAAATTAACCGACTTTCTAATAATTAAAAATAAAAAAATTGAGATAAATATTTTTATTTTTATTTTTTTGTAAAATATTGTTGAAATTATTAAATTCTTTAATAATTTAGTTTGAATGATACTAGAGTTTGAATTTTATTAAATTGAATTTATGGTTAAATAATTATTCATAATAAGAAAAAAAATAATAAAAAAAATCGATTATTTAACTGAACCGATTGAACCGAACCGATTTTTGGTCGGTTCGGTTATGATCGGTTATTTAATATTATTCGATCGGTTCGGTTATTTGTTAAATGAAAGTCAATTAAATCGATTATTGATTTTTTCAAACCGAACCAACCGAACTGACTATTTACTCACCCCTAGTAATACTAAACTTTTTCAAATACTATTAATATAATTCTTGATCAAATTTTGAAAAAAATACAACTTAAAATGATAAGTTAAAAATTATTATTCTTTGTTATCATGTTAAAATATATTTATTAAAAATAAAAAAAATTTAAGAATGAAAACAGAACTTCTTGATTTTAAATTTTTAATTTAAAATTAAGGAAAAAATAATAATTTATTTTTTATAATAATTACAAAAATTTTATATATATTTTGAGATAATAGCAAAAAGCAATAAAAATTTTACAATTATTATAAAAAATAAAGTATTATTTTGCACTTAATTTTAAATTAAAATTTAAAAATCAAAACCAAAATATACTTTTGTTTCTATTAAAAAAAATTTCTAGGAGAAGACATAAAACTATCATGTCAGATGGGTTAATTACTTTTGAGTCTCCTTTTGCTAAGGTCCACAGTTTTTCTTACCTACTTCCTATCCTTTGCGGGAGTGGTGGGGACAGCCAATGCTTGCTCCCAAATATCTACAGCTTTGTACATTTGACGTGAATTGCCTTATTAGTCTTCTACTGGGTTGTGATTTTTCACTAACCATTTTTTTAAAGGAGAATTTGTTCCAACATAACAAAAATTATACAATAGAAGGCATGACCGTCACATATTGCTCGAAAATGCCATGGGAATTTACTCCTTATTACACAACAGTTAAATTCAAAAACTAATAGATAAAAAAAAATATTGGTAAGTTATGCACATAATTTTCTTCCGATGTAGCAATTGTTGTTCTTATAGAGGTGGTTGTTCTCATTATAGTTGACAATTGCAGAGAAATTATGCTCCGAAACAAATATTACCCTTGAAATATCATGAATGGAATACAACATCAACTATCCATTGTACAATATTTTGTCACAAATATCAATTATGCTTTCTATTAAAATTCGTCACCAAAATGAAAGGGTAACAATAAAAGCACCCAAAAAATAAATAAATAAATGTCATAGCTTTAATTGACCAGTATAAAAAAATTGAACGTAAACATCACTAAGAATACACATTATATATTGAATTACAATAATTAATTTATTAATAACTGCAGAACTATAAGGGTGAGTCATCCCCAGAAAGGAGAAAAATAATTATGATCTATGGTAGAAATAATAGGAAAAAATAAGATTGAACAAGAACACATCTTTGTGAATTAAGCTTTGAATATTTAAAATTATTTTGTGTATAAAATAATAGACGAGACAATATAAAATCATCATATATCTTATTTGGTGCTCACTTTAGGAAGATAAAGATCATACACAACATAATTTATTCTCATAGTACATGATGATTCAACTCTATTTAAAGGAGGTTTATTTTTTATGTTTGGACTATGCAAATTACTGGAAGATGGCTAATCTCATTATCAATAATTATTTCTATTTACATGCGATAAGGTTATCCTTTTTTTTTTACTCATTTTTTTTTGTTAGAAATAGTGATTCAAATTTCATAATAGATTTATTTGAGATTAACTAAAGATTATTTGATAGATAAAAAGACTTATAAAAAAATAATCTAAGAGAAATGTGATTTATGCTAGGTAAATTTATATGTTTATAAATAAGTGAAGTTTCTATAGAAATAGATATGAGAAAAAAAAATATAAGAGAGTTGTAGAGTTTTAAAGATAGATATCTTAAAAGACTATTTGAGAATTATATTTTATGGATGTATAATTTGAATGTTTGTGAGTGCGACTAAATGAGGCTAAGATGGTCCACATCAGTATGATATATTGGATGCATATATGTAATGTATTTTTTGGTTAAATAATAATCTATAATGAACTAGAGAATATTGAGAAAGTCTATATGGTATTAATTGATTGACTGATTGATAAGATTTATACAACTAGTAGATCTTTTTTTTCATCCATGGATGCAGGTCAATTTGAATTGAATAATGTTAAATTACTATCTCTTATATAGTTGATTGATTGTTTAATTTATTTTTGCTGACATAAATGTTCAATTTGATTGGATGAATCTTTTGACCTAACAAATGGTATCATAATTATCGTTATCCCTACACTTTCATCCTCTTAAAATGAACAACAAAACATAAAAATAAAGAATTTTTATCCTATCCTAATTTCTAACCATCATCAATGCACCTTTAGAGCATTATGTTTTGCTATCCCCCAAGCTTGCACTAACCAAGCGCACAAAGAACAATAAAATCAATAGACAGCATATGGACCTAAAAAAAGATTGCAGCAAATGTTCTCCAATAGAAAATGAGCAAGTTACTATTGGATTGATATGTTGTATTTATTTTAATTAATGGATTAATAAATTCATTATATATCTAATTATATTAATTAATATCAATTAATAAGTAATTGTTATGATTTTATATTAAAATATATCCAAATTAGTAGTATTATTATCATTAAGTGTGATCTCAATTTAATTTTGCATTTGAACCTATGATAGGATGATTAGGATGGGGTCAATTTTTAACTATATGTTAAAAAGGTCCATCATTTTACTTATATATATATAAATCAGTCCATTAGGTTTCATAACTTCAGTTTATGAAGGTAGAGAGCAGTTCTTTTTCTTCTCAACATGCAGGCCCTCTATTCGGAGCCCAGAAAGTGCCATTGGAGGAGCTCGTGATGTTGCAAAACTTCCTTGACCTCAGTTAAGCGAAGTTGAGTCTCATTCACATCTAGATTAGTTTTATTTTAATTATAAATTATGTTAGTGACTCAGTGAGGTTTGATCATATATAACAATTGGTATTGTGGCAATGTTGGTGGTCCATGAACCTTACATATAGGACGTAAAATTTTGTAAAATAAAAAAATAGAACTTGTTGTCAAATCTTTTTATTAAGTGGTGGATTTGATCATTCTAAAAAGTTTTTTTTTTTTAATAAACGAAATTGAGTCTAAGGTTTAATCAAAATATATTTTGATATTGAAAAATAGAATTGAGGTCTCAGGAATTCAGTTACACATGAAAAAAATTAGCACCCCATAGCCACTTACTTAAAATAATACTAATTACTCATATACTATTTTTTCGATATTGGAAAAATGATTCAACTTGAATTTAATGATAATTCCTCTTTCACCTTTTTTCCTTTTGAAAGCAATCCGGTTTTATTTGATAAAAAGAAAACATTGCCTTTAGGAATATTGGTGAAAATATTTAGATTAAAAATTATCTTAAAACTTTTTAATATTTAGATCGAATTTAAAGATAACTTTTTCACTTAAGATCCATCATGATATTCATTTAAAATGAAAATAATAATTTTTATAAATGATAATTACCGATGACTTTCTAACTTTTAGGCAGAATATAAAAAATAATTTCTCTCAAATTATTATTTTAGTTTTATTTCAAAATTCATATTTTTTGGATAATATTTTTCATGAGAAATATTTTATGTAAAAGAATCAATGATATTACAATTAACAAATAAAAAAGCCATTGATAGATTTTTAGTTATAATCTCCTTCTACCAACAAAGTGAAATTCACCTAGAATCAAGATAACAAAGAATTTAAAAATATTTAGGCTTTCTTAGATAAAAAATTAGATTAACTATTCACTCTACATTCTGTGGTTTGCAAAATTCTTCATTTCGTGATCCAATATATTATTTTTTTATATTAGACAACTGGTTGTATTATTGTGAATTTATTTTAGTAAAAAGGTCAAAAACATTTTGAACAAAAATTTAATAATTATATAAATTTATTATTTTATTACAATCAATTAAGTGTTAAAATATATTTTTTCATTAATTGAATCTTTATTATATAAAAATTAATTAATCATCAATACATATTTTGTTAATTCGAAGGCTCAATTGAGATAAAAATAGATATTTAAGAGTATAGTTAGGTGAAAATAAATATTTAATAATTTAATTAATCCAAAATAAAAAATTTAGGATTTAATTGATTACTTTTTTTTTTTTTTTGGCTATACGAAAAGAGGTAGACATCTAACCAAATGTGAATAACGATTAGAGCGGACAATGTAAGAAAACTGTAATGTTACAAAAAAAAAAAAGTAATTACTTAAGACATTCATCATAGTCACGATACTTTAC